CCCCAAAACCCCAAAACCCCACTTACCTTTTTACTAAAATTTATTCTAAATGTAATTAATCAAAATATATTGACTTAAATATAGTATAAATGATTGATAAATAAATTATTACTGATAAATTACAAATGCTAAGTGCTTTCTATAACCAAGCATCTCCAGCTCCATAATTCATAGATGAAACCTTTCATGATCTTAAGAAAGATGTTTCAGAGTACTTATCACTAGAAGATAGGCATTTCAACAGTGATAGCTTTGCTGATAGTCTTTATCTGGCTGATAAATTCGCAGGTTTATCATTAAAAGATGAGTAGAAGGTTGTTGAAAAGAAACCTGATAACTAAAAGCAAGCCAAAAATAAAGTTAAAACTCCAGACACACAGGAAGTACCCAATAAGAATACCATTTTAAAATCAGAGGTTGTTGATAAAACTCAAAGGAAGGTTCCATCTTTCTTGATGAAGGCTTAGAAATAAGAACAATAAAATATTAATGAGAAAGAAATTACTGTCGAGGTAGATGATTCAAATTTATGGAAATCTATTTCAGATGAGAGTGATGAAAATAATGATGGCAGAAGAGTCACAAGATCTAAGAAATAGAAAGATATTAAGAAAAAAGACAATGTTAAAGTCAAGCAAAGTTTGAAACCATTGGTTCAAATAAAGGAATCTCAGAATAAAGTAATGGAAGCTTAATCTAAGCCAATTGTAAATCAAGTGATTGATCAAAATCCAGTTATAGAGCAGTCATAGCAACCTGAAGTAAAAGTAAAAAGAGGTCCGGGCAGACCCAGAAAGATCAGACCAGATGCTCAATAGGAAAGTCAGCCTCAACTCTTGGTTAAGGTTGATCCTGATTTATTGGCCAAATCTGAGCAGAAAAAACCACAAAGTCCCATCAATCAGAAATAAGAGAAAAAGAGTAAAAGGTCAAGAAAGCCTCTAATAGAAATGACCAGTGAAAAGGATAAACTCATTGTTGATGGCTAAAATGAGAAAGAGTTTACTTTTTGCAAGTAAGTGATTTAGTCAGAAAGCTCGGAGGAGACTAAGCATAGTGATGATAAACTTCAAAAAGACTCTGATTAGTTAAAAGAAGAAGAAGAGGAGATGAAAGAGATTATGAGGCAGATAGAGTAAATGAATTTACTTGATCAGGAGGCAGGAGAAGATGCCAATAGAAAATCCCCAGGAAGACCAAAGAAAATATCACCTTAGACCTATGAATTAGAAGTTAATCTTCATTATACCCAGAGTTCTGATCCTTCAAGTACTCATAAGTTCGTTTTTAATAGAGATATTGATGGCAAGTATGTCTTAGAGTTTGGAGACTTGAAACTTCAGAAGTTCAACTATCATAGATACAGCTATATCATGAAGTCTCATGGATTCTAGTTTGAATAGGAAATGATGAGAGAGTTGAACTCAAAAAGTGACTAGTTAGATTATGAAGAGGGTAAACTTTCTGATACTGAGTAAGTTCTTGCTCGAAACATTAAATCTGATCAGACTTGCAGTGAATAGTCTAATTCGGCAACAAATAACATAAAGTATCAATATAAACCCATAATGAGCTATGAAGAGTTCCAAAAGCAACAAAATTTCGCTGAGATCTTTAATTTAAATGATTAAAAAGACGTGAGATTTATCTAGAAATGGCTGCTTAATTACAAACCTAGGTGGAATGACCTAGATGGTTGGATATATGTCTACTACAGATAAGCTGATGAAATCCTTATCAAGCAGAATAAACTATCGCATCTAATCCTATTCAAAGTGGGTAGAACTAAAAATCTGCCTTAGAAGAGAGTTTAATTTTAAGCAGATAAGAATAAAGAAGTTTATAAAATTAGAGAAACTTTCGCTTCGAGATACAGCAATCATTTGGAATTCTTAATACATTTGTACTTTCATGAGCACAGAGTAGTGAGACCAGATATGATTGATGGTAAAACCGAATGGTTCCTTGTTACCTATAATGAACTTAGAGATGCTATTCTTAAGATTAAACTATTTATGATAAGAGCTTATCATGATTGTGGATGGGAGCAACTAATTCCTCATGAAACTAGAATCAACCCTGAAAATCTAAATGTTGCCAAGAGAACTAGGCATGGCACTCAATAAAATATTTAGAATAACCAAGTTCCATCGATATCTAAAGTTTAGCAATGTAACTGAAAGCTGCATGACTCTTAGAATTTGATTTTTTATTAATATGATATAATCTCAAAGAAATATTTGTTTTCAATAATTATGGTACTTTTTCTTATATTGCTTCTATCTAACCTTATGGGGTTTTGGGGTTTTGGGGTTTTGGGG